TGTAATGGACCGGAGAGAGCGTAGGAGAAGATCTAGCTCAACCTGTACAGGTACTTAAGAAATTATGGAGTTAAAACACAAGAAAGAGCATATATAAGAATATAAAGTTAAAAGTGATTTGACATTAAGATTTGCGTTGACAGACGTAGGAGGAGAATCGAAGCTTCTCAAATCCATACCTACGAATACACTATTAACCCTCCTTAAGAAAAATGCAGAAGGATAGTCTCCCTTGTTTATATACCACAATGAGATTCCAGAATCTCCATGAAAAATATGATTGAATCTTTCTGTAAAGAAAATTTATAATAGATCCAATGCTTAAAAAGAAAAACTAAAACCAAATGTAGTAAAAAAATATAGAACATTAGGAGAAGCAAATAATAGGTTTAGAACATAGCTAGAAGCTAATGAAGAAAAGTTAGTTACCAAGAAGCACGTGACACTTCTCTACATAACCAGACAGGTTATTGCACTAATTGATATAATAACTGCAGTTGCAAATAATTTACGAAGACGATCAGAATCAATGATCTGTAACTAGCAATTTAATTTAAAATTAATTAAACACGCATGCGCCAAGTACCTTCGTATTGTACGTACTTGATTCGTGTATCAATTGCCCGTTGTGATTGATATAGGGGAATCCCAGCAGTACATAAATGCATGCCAGCTGATTTGTATCTCAGATTACCCTCCATTATTTTGCATTCTACTATTCATCTAACCTACCACAAATACAAAAGATCAAGCTAAAATAGATGAAGATAGCAGCATAGAACTGATTCCTGCCAGCTTGAAAAGAGAAGTGTGAGGTGATCGGGATGTTTTCGTATACTTAACCTTTACTTGTCGACCACTTCACAGCAATCCAAAAGCAGCTGGAAATCAGAGTATTTGGGTTAATTTATTTACAAAATGAACTTAGCTGAGATCTTATGTGAGGTTGTAGTTCAGTTATATCTAGAGAATTATTTTTCTGAATAATTAATACCATTCAATCTCACAATATATGGACCATAAAACCAAAAACTTGGAATATTCTCCTTCTTCCTCTACATGTAATTCTATGATGGGTAATGCTAATTCAATCATTTAGTCGCCTTTAATCTTCTACCAATCATAAGAAAAACATAGTAAGAAAAGTTTTCATCCATACAACGTTGCTTTATCTTTTGCTCAAAGTGGGTTACGCAATGATCCACCAACTATTGATCTGAATATCATTATTCTATTATGAATCACAACGCATTATGTCTTCCATGAATCACAATGCTTACCTCTTAATATTAATATTCTATTTCTTTTAGTTTAAGATTTTTTTAGGAATTTTACAGACCTTTCTGAGGAGAGAGATTGGGATTTGACAAAGTCATGCATGGCTATAAAATCCAACTTACCTAAACAATTTTGTAACCTTGTCCCTACCTTGCACTCTATTCCTTGTCCCTACCTTCCACCCTATTTCCCATCCCAAAACATCCACCCCCAACCCTCCTTCCCCCCACCACCAACCTCCTCCTCCTCATATAAGCACTCCAGCCCCTCTCCTCAGTTTCATCACAGCCTTGACATCATACAACTCATTTTTTCTCACTCCAAACCCTCATTAAAATTCGACACAACATGTGCAACTCCAAGATGAAATCAAGCCATGCCAATGCCTTGGCCGATGTTGCCAACATCAACGGCAGGCCGGTCCTTCAGCCCACCTCCAACCGGGTTGCAACCTTAGAGCCCAACAAACCCGTGAAGAAATCTCTCCAAAGATCCTTATCTTCTCCCATGTCCATCACTGTCACCAAGACCACTGCCAAAGTCACGACTCTGCCAATATCTCCCAAGCCTAAACCCATCAAGAGAGCCAAAGACACCTACAGTCCAAATTCTAGCACTGAGAAGCCCATTATCCCGAAACCAACTGTGAATCCAGTTCCAGTGATTAGAAAGAAATCGAAGACATTAGAAACATCATTGAGCTTCAAGAATGATTCCACTTCTTATGAATCTTTGTTGGTGGATAGAGCTCCTGGGAGCATTGCAGCTGCACAAAGAGAGCAGGCTTCAGTAATGCAAGCACGACGCAAGATGAAGATTGCTCACTATGGAAGGACGCCGGAAAAGCTCGAGAAGATTGCTCCGGTTATCGACATAACAGATTCTGAGGCTGCTGATAGCCAAGAAGAAAAGAGATGCAGCTTCATTACACCGAATTCAGGTAAAAAGTTTCCCCTATTGCATATAATTATGAGATAATTTTGTGTACCTTTGCCTGTGTTTGTTAATCCTATGTTTTTCTCTTATTATGATAGACCCTCTGTATGTTGCCTACCATGATGAGGAGTGGGGAGTGCCAGTTCATGATGACAAGTGAGTCTCTCTTTCTAGACTCTATCAATGCTCATGCTTATTAGATAGTTGTTAGATACGTGGTGTAGCAAGATGGGGCTATATAATCCCATCCCCCCACCCCCTCTTCTCTCTCTAACTAGTGAATCATAATACTGCAGGATGCTGTTTGAGTTATTAGTTTTATCAGGGGCTCAAGTTGGCTTAGATTGGACCACCATATTGAAGAAAAGGAATGATTTCAGGTACAGTAGTATAATTTTGATTCACTTTCAGATAGAATTTTGGTGATAAATTTTGTTTAAAATGGTAGTGATTTAGTTTGGGCAGGAAGAAGTTTAAACTGTTTGTTTCTGTGCTTTGTATGTTTTCAGGTCAGCTTTTGCTGGATTTGATGCAGATGTCGTTTGCAAATTCACAGAGAAGCAAATAGCATCAATCAGTTCAGATTATGGACTTGATTTGGGCAGGGTACGAGGAGTTGTAGACAACTCTAACAGAATCCTAGAGGTATATAACTAACTTGTCATTTTGGTTCCCCTTTTCTATGATCTGATAGTTTCTTGGCTTTTTTGTTCTTTTAGTTGTTTAAACAAAGGCATACCATTAATTATATCATAAAAATCACTTTCCAACAGGAAATCCTTGAATTAAGAAAGGAATCAAATCTATTTTGTAGTAGGATTAAGGAATAAGAATGTAGCTTTTACCGTATCAACTGTTTAACCAAGTTGTTATCTCAATCATTCATGCCCAGTTGGTAGAAGTCTTAATTTCCATCCGATTATTGTTGGCATGATCTCTTTTAACAACCTACTCACTGAGTCATTAATATCTAACTTTCTGCTAATAATAAAATGAACGTAGCTCTTTCTAACTTGATTAAATTTTGATGCAGGTTAGGAAGGAATTTGGGTCACTAGACAAATACCTATGGTGTTTTGTTAACCATAAGCCCATATCAACCAACTACAAGTCATGCAGAAAAATCCCAGTAAAGACCTCCAAGTCCGAGATGATAAGCAGGGACATGGTCCGCCGAGGCTTTCGCTTTGTGGGCCCGACTGTGATCCACTCCTTCATGCAGGCCGCCGGCCTCACCAACGACCACCTCATCTCCTGCCGCCGCCACCTCCATTGCTCATCCTAATACTAACCAAAAGACTTTATATGCTTAGCTACGTACTTACTAGTTGGTTTTACTCTTAATACTTTGGATTGGTTGTATAGTGTTTACTAATTTTTTTTCCAGTTTGGGCATTTTAATTGTGAGGCGTATGTGAGATTGATTGCTAATGGATAGAGATTGGCATCATGAAAAAGAGGGGACACAAAGAACATGGGCAAACAGGCAAACGCATCATCATGTGGCAGTGCTAGGATAGCTAAGACTGCTTTCCCCCCCGGCCGCCACGCCCCCCCCCTCTGCTCTTGGGCCATGGTGATGAGAGTTTGTTTCTTAATTTCCTGGACCTCAAGATGTCAATCTGATCACTTTAACAGCTATAGCCTTTAGTGGTGGGAGGAGAGAAGGAGAATATTATACCCTTGGGCTCCACCAGTTTGCAAAATTCTCTTAACTAGGTTTTGTACATCGTCACATGGTGTTTGCAGTTTGCTTAACATGTATTTGTATTATATGTACCACTTTATTTTTCTGCTCTTTTGGAGTTTGATGATGGTGATGATGTATCTGTGAAAGAATGCAACACTCCATGTGCTTCCTCTTCTTCTACTTTCCTTTCAGTTTAATCCAACTTTCTTTCCACCTACCATGGATTTATTCTTGACCTGCTTTTTTTTTGTGTCAGTGATATGGTAGCTAATATTTAATCTGTTAGGCTTGATAGGCCAATGATTTGTTGGTGTAACTAGCTATACTCCTCGAGTGAGGTATGTCACATGGAGAATGATTTGGCAATAGCATATTTATATCAGATAATTGTATATGTTGGAAAGATTAGTTTTAACCTATCAAACTGAAAAGTGCTTGATATATGCATGGGTTTGAGGGGAAAACTGACCTCTCTTGTCTACCTGCTTTGTAAACTCTTCTTCTTACTTGTAGAAGGAACCCAAACAGTCGGTAGATACCAAAAACCTGGAGGAAAAACAAAAAAGATATACTACTGTTAGCATCAGGAATCTACAATTAATGGCATAATTGCAGAATCTGTCAATTGAAATTCCTCTCTGCAATGGAAATGCCGGAACTGTCAGGCGATAATAGAGTCCTAGTATGAAATAATACAGAAAGGTACTAAGATTACTTGGAAATTATGCAAGGATACAAGCGTGCGCACGTAAAATCTGAAGCACAAGCATCGTGGGAGAATTTAAGGATGCAAATTGCAGCAAATAACATTGAGAGAGAAGCGTATGAACACTTCTATCTGTAACAAACAAAATTGACATTTCTGTTGAGAAGTACTATCTTCTCCTTACAAAATATAACCAAACCTTGACAGCTCGAAAACAAGGCAGACTTCACAATCCATTAGTCATGAAGATCTCTGATACACAAATAATTTGAACAAGGCAACCTGTCCATCAACTTCATATATAAAAATTTGTATTTATCACTATAGCTTAAAATTTTAAACCAGGTGAAATCAACATGACGGTTATAGTATCCAACAATTTGTTCCCCAAACAGGCTACTTCATTGAATTTTAATATAAATAATAGTTTACACAGATAACTCAAGCAGGCTACTTAAGTGCCAAAACTCGATAGAATCCTGAGAACATTTTCTATAAATTTTATTTGCAAGCAAACCATGTGAAGATAGAAGCATGCCAAAACTTCATGATACGTAATATTCAGCAGATGAAGGGGGCATCAACATAGCTGTCACTGCAGTAAAGACCCGGACGCTGTGAGAATCGTTGTCTAGCCAACATCTTCCGAGCTTTCTGCACTAGCTCCTCATTACTAATTTCACGATGAGTCTCTTCAAGGATAGTCTGGATTGCATTGCTGAGAGCCCCATAGGCTCTACCATTTGGAGGGTTTGCATCAGCAGATGTCTGATCAGTTTGGCAACCACTAATCAGTATTCCACTATCAGGAAGAGATCTCTTATTTGCTCCTGCATAAACTTCTCGTTTGTTATGGACCTCGGTTTCTAATGCTGGTTTAACATAATCTTCATTATTTGCCTCTAGCTTTTGTTTGAGAAATTCCTGTGCCAAACCCCCAACCATACTCATGAATCCACCACCTCCACCTTCACTGTTGCCACCATTTTGGAGCTTGCTCAAGATAACATTCATAAACTTCTTAATCTTAGGACTTGCATCATCACCAAACATGTCAAACAAAGTAGGCCTTATTTTTCCCACATCAATATCTTCTTTACCAGTCTTCTGCTTCAGAAGTTCTATTAGTGTGGGCAGAGGGAGAGTGCGGTTCTTAATATGGTCATTTTCAGCATTATCACCATAGCTTTCATCCTCATTTTCAGAGCGATTGTGACGGTTATGGTGTCCCTCAAGGGGGATATGGATACCTCGTGACTCGAATGCATCCTCTACTTGCTGTTTCAAGAAGGATTTGAAGCCAAACTTGGAGCCGGAGGGTTCTTCATCATCGTTATCCTCCTTTTTGGTGCTTTCTCCGATCTGTTCCTTGGCTTCATCGATCAGGCCACCACTATGGCATGAATCTGAGACAATTGTAATTCGACATCCTCTTGGGATTTCATCGATAAAGTCTCTGAAGTCATCATCTGCATTCACAAAAACACTATCAAACGGACATGAAAAGGAAGACAGCATGTGTATAAGATGAGAATGAACCATGGAAGAGTATAATAATAGAACTCATGCTTTCAGCGTTTTCTGAGTTTCTAGGATCTGATTGAGTTGCCAAAGGAACAACTGTTCATCATTGAGTTCTCTTTTGGCACTGCTACGTCAGATGGACAATGAGAGAGAAGACAGGAAAATAGTTTAAAAAAGAAAGGAAAATTCAGAATGCTATATTTTTTGTTTTTGAATTTCTAAGAGCTTCAGGCTGTTAACTAGAGCATTTCTTCATGAAATTGTCTGTATTAGACACAACTAAGGACTAGGTAGCATGCAGGATGCAGCCTCATATCATGAAGTTTCATGAAAAGTTTTGTTATCACTTGATCTCGGATTCATAAATTATCTACAATTTGTAGATCAATGTGAACAAAATGAATCATCCGCAAGATCCATGACAAAGTTCTCATGAACCTTAATTTGAGGACCTGCGTCAAACAATCATTTCCTCATATACAAATATAAGGCAAAAAAATTAGAATCCTGCAATTACAATACAATAAAACCCTACGATGCCACTGATATGGTGCTTCACGGTTCACCCAAATAATTAATTCAAGATTGTATCAACACAATGATTTAATTAATATGAAATGTTGAGGCTAGACAGGGAATTGTTTAATATTCAACATGCACTTTGCAATTTTTGCAATTCTTACAATTCTATCTATTTATGTTATCATTCTTTTTGTTTGTAGAGCCTGATATTCATGAACTACTCACCCCAGAAGGGCGAAAAACTGTTAGTGTTAGCTATAGTCAACAATAAATCACAAATTTGGGAGCTCGTGCAAATTCCAAAGTTGATAGGGCCAAAAATGACCAAAGTTGTGGGTTATAGTCAACAATAAATTGCGAATTCCAAAGCTCGCAAAATATTTCCATGCAGGAAAGCAAGAAGTGATTTAGAAAAAAATGACCAAAATTGTGGGTTATAATCCATGAGATATCGTGAATTTTAGGAACTCGCATAAATATTTCTAGGTGGGAAAGTAAGAAGTAATTTTACCAAAAGAGACCAAAATAGTGAGATTTGGTCCATGAGAAATCGTGAATTTGGGAATTCGCATAAATATTTCTACTCAAGAAAGTAAGAAGTGGTTTGGAAAAAAAAAAGACAATTTGTGGGTCAATTTGTGGGTTATAGTCCACAAGATATAGTGAAGTTGGGAGCTTGCAAAAAATCTTTCCTTGCTGAAAAGCAAGAAGTGATTTAGCCAAAAACAACCAAATTGTAGGTTATACTCCACGAAAAGTCATGAATTTAAGAGCTCGCATAAGTATTTTAAAGCGTGAAAGCAAGAAGTCATTTAGCTAAAAACATGCAAATTTGTGGGTTATAGTCCATGAGTAATCGTGTTTTTTACGGAAAATGACCAAAATTATGGGTTTATTATCCATGAGAAAATGTGAATCTAGGAGCTTACATAAATATTTCCATGCAGGAAAACAAGAAGTGATTTAGTCAAAATCGGTCCAAAATTGTAAATCATTGTCCACGAAAAATCATGATTTGGAAAAAATGACCAAAAATGGGGGTCCACAAAAAATTGTAAATTTAGGATCACACAAAATATTTCTGTGGAAAAGCAAGAATCCATTAAACACCACCATGATTGTGGGTTACAGTCCATGAGAAATCGTGAATTTGGAAGCTTGCATAAGTATTTTTATGCGTGAAAGCGAGAAGTGATTTGATAAAAAAACTACAATTGTGGGTTATAGGTCCACAAGAAATTGTGAATTTAGGTGCTCACAAAAATATTTCTAAAGCAAGACATGATTTGGCCAAAAAAAACAAAAATCTTAATTACAACCCTTGAGAAATTGTAAATTTGGAAGCTCTCATACATATTTTTGTGTAGAAAAACAAGAAGTGATTTAGCCAAAAACGATCAAAATTGTGGGTTATAGTCCACGAGAAATCATGAATTTAGGAGCTCGAAAATATTTTTATGCAGGAAAGCAAGAAGTGATTTGATCCAAAACGACTAAAGTTGTAAGTTGTGGGTTAGTCAACAAGAAATCATGAATAGGGAGTTTGTATAAATATTTCTATGCATGAAATCTAGAAGTGATTTAACCAAAAATGACCAAAAATGTGGTTATAGTCAATGAGAAATTGTGATTTTGCCGTCCATGAGAATCATGCATTTGGAAGCTCAACATAAATGTTTCTATGCGGAAGGCAAGAAGTGATTTCGCCATCAGAACCAAAATTGTAAGTGATAGTCTACGAGAAATCGTGATTTGGCAAAATATGACCAAAATTGTGGGTAATAGTCCACTTGAAAATTTGAATTTAGAAGCTCGCATAAAAGACTTTATGCAGGAAAACGAAAAGTGATTTGGTCCAAAAATGATCAAATTTGTGGGTTATAGTCCATGAGAAATCGTGAATTTGGTAGTGATTTGGCCAAACACAATAAAAATTTATTAGTTATAGCCCATGAGAAATCAAGATTTGGCCAAAAACGATCAAAATTGTGGGTTATAGTCCACAAGATCGTGAATTTGGGAGCTTGCACTTTCTACACATGAAAACATGAAATGATTTGGCCATAACAACAAAAATTGTGGGCTATAGTTCATGAGAACTCATGACTTGGCCTAATGACCAATATTGTGGCTTATACTCCACGAGGAATCAGGAATTTGGGAGCTAAGTATATTTCTATACTTGAAAATAAGAAGCGATTTGGCCCAAAAATGACCAAATTTGTGGGCTATAGTCCAAGAGAAATCATGAATTGGGAAAACAAAATTGCAGGTTATAGTCGATGAGATATCATGAATTTTGAATCTTACATAATATTTCTATGTGGGAAATCAAGAAAAGATTTGGCCTAAAACAATCATAATTGTGGATTATAGTCAATGAAAAATTATGATTTGGTATAACACGATAAAATTGCGGGTTATAATCCACGAGAAATTATAAATTTGGGAATTCACATAAATATTTTATGTGGGTAAGTAAGAAGTGATTACGGTAAAAATGACCAAAATTGTAGGGTGTCAACAAGATGTCATGAATTTTGGACCTCTTTTCAATTTTTTATGTGGGAAACAAGAAGTGAGTTGGTAAAAAAAAGACCAAAATTGTAGGGTGTCAACAAGAGTGAGTTGGTAAAAAAAAGACCAAAATTGTAGGGTGTCAACAAGATGTCATGAATTTTGGACCTCTTTTCAATTTTTTATGTGGGAAACAAGAAGTGACTTGGTAAAAAAAAGACCAAAATTGTGGGTAGTAATCCATGAGAAATCGTGAATTTGGTAGCTCACATAAATATTTCTATGCATGAAAGCAAGTTATTTGGCCAGATACAACAAAAGTTTATTAGTTATGGCCCATGAGAAATCAAGATTTGGTCAAAAACGATCAAAATTGTGGGTTATAGTCCACGCAATCGTGAATTTGGGAGCTTGCATAATATTTCTACACATGAAAACATGAAATGATTTGGTCATAAAAACAAAAATTATGGGCTATAGTCCATGAGAACTCATGACTTGGCCAAATGACCAATATTGTGGCTTACAATCCACGAGAAATCATGAATTTGGGAGCTAAGTATATTTCTATACTGGAAAATATGAAGCGATTTGGCCTAAAAACGACCAAATTTGTGGGCTATAGTCCACGAGAAATCATGATTTGGGCAAAACAAAATTGTAGGTTATAGTCGACGAGATATCATGAATTTTGAATCTTACATAGTATTTCTATGTGGGAAATCAAGAAAAAATTTGGCCTAAAATGACCAAAATTGTGGATTATAGTCAACGAAAAATTATGATTTGGTATAACACAATAAAATTGTGGGTTATAAACCACGAGAAATTATAAATTTGGGAGCTCACATAAATATTTTTATGTGGGTAAGCAAGAAGTGATTACGCTAAAAATGACCAAAATTATAGGGTGTCAACAAGATGTCATGAATTTTGGACCTCTTTTCAAATTTTTATGTGGGAAACAAGAAGTGACTTGGTAAAAAAAAGACCAAAATTGTGGGTAGTAATCCATGAGAAATCATAAATTTGGTAGCTCACATAAATATTTCTATGCATGAAAGCAAGTGATTTGGCCAAACACAACAAAAAATTATTAGTTATAGCCCATGAGAAATCAAGATTTGGCAAAAAATGATCAAAATTGTGGGTTATAGTCCACGAGATCGTGAATTTGGGAGCTTGCACAATATTTCTACACATGAAAACATGAAATGATTTGGCCATAAAAATAAAAATTATGGGCTATAGTCCATGAGAACTCATGACTTGGCTTTATGACCAATATTGTAGCTTATAGTCCACGAGAAATCATGAATTTGGGAGCTAAAGTATATTTCTATACTGGAAAAAAGAATCGATTTGGCCCAAAAATGACTAAATTAGTGGGTTATAGTCCACGAGAAATTATGATTTGGGCAAAACAAAATTGCAGGTTATAGTCGACGAGATATCATGAATTTTGAATCTTGCATAATATTTCTCTGTGGAAAAATCAAGAAAAATTTTGACCTAAAACAACCAAAATTGTGGATTATAGTCAACGAAAAAATATGATTTGTTATAACAAGAAAAAATTGTGGGTTATAATCCATGAGAAATTATAAATTTGGGAGCTCACATAAATATTTTTATGTGGGTAAGCAAGAAGTGATTACGCTAAAAATGACCAAAATTATAGGGTGCCAACAAGATGTCATGAATTGTAGACCTCTTTTCAATTTTTTTATGTGGGAAACAAGAAGTGACTTGGTAAAAAAAAGACCAAAATTGTGGGTAGTAATTCATGAGAAATCGTGAAATTGGTAGCTCACATAAATATTTCTATGCATGAACGCAAGTGATTTGGCCAAACACAAAAGTTTATTAGTTATAGCCCATGAGAAATCAAGATTTGGCCAAAAAC